GGAAAAGGGGAAAAGGAAAACCTTTCTGTAGCACAGCCAGAACCAGCAGCAGTTTCCATTTGGGAAATGGGAATGACTGAGGCATTCCACAGGGAGCACAGCTGGTCTGGGATGTTCTCCTGCCTTCCTGGGGGAGGAATGTTTGCCCAGACAGGGAGCAATGGGATGGGAGCTTTGGAGTGGGTACTGGGGGAAAAATATCATTGCCCTAACAGGAAAGCATCAGCTCCCATGGTTTGCTGCGGGTTTGGGAAGGAGCAGCCAGGGCTGAAGGGGATGAGGAGGTTCCAGCTCAGCTCCAGACTCTCAGGAGTCAAGGGAAACCATCAGCCTCTTATCCCTGACTTGTGGAGGTCTAGGTGTGTGAAACAAACTGGGACAGCTCCCCAGAAATGTCAACAAGCTTCCATGCAAGAGAACCGCTGGATTTTATCACCATGGAAGATTAAAGAATGGTGAGTGAGCAAACCACTGCTGCTGACTTGGACATCTGCAAAAATGAAACCTGCCAAGCCAAAGGGAAGCTGCACAAGGGGAACAAGAACATCACAAATCCTGTCACTTTTCTCTGTAATAAAAACCTTTTAAAATATTGTTTTGGAACACCTGTGCTTTCCAAAAGGACAAACCAGGGAGGCAATGAAAGCTGAAATCCCAAAAAGCACAGAGGCCAAAAGACAAAGCACAAGGTGGGCAGCTGCAGAAAGGAAGGATGATCCAGCCCAAGGTCTTGAATTTATTCCTCCTACTTGGTTCTTCCTTCATCAAAATGCACCAAAATCCCACACCAGGACCTTCCAAAACGGCATCAGATCTCAAGGACCCTCAATGTGGGCACTATGTGCATTTTAGCCCCAATTACCAATACAAGAAATAAAATAAAATTCACTTGACAAGGCGCTAGAGTTCTTGACAAAGCCACCTTCCCCTTTTTTACTAAAACCCTGGGATCCTGCCCCCACACAGGTTTTGAGCATCCAAAATACTTGAGAATGGTTGAAATTCCATTTTATTGCCAAAATATGCCTGTTAAAGAAACAAACAAAACCAAACAAAAAAAAGCCCCAAAAACCCCAAACAATCAAAAAAACCCCTCACACAAAAACCCAAACACCTTGACCTCAACCCAACAATTCAGATTTTAACTAAAATCTCCCACTTCTATTATCCCAAATTTGCAGGTAATTTACATAAGGTCTCCCAGTGCCCTTTAAAAAAATAAAACCAACTTGTTTCAGTTAGGAGATCCATGAGATTGCTCTACACTGGCATGTTCAGAAGGAATTACCACAGCCAAACACAGAACGTGGCATAAAACAGCACCTGGTCTATTCTGCAGTGCGAGGTTTGTGTGCCACCATTGGGATGGACATGGAAGCAGTCTCTGCCCAATTCCTTCTAGGAATATCTCAGGAAAAACTGATTTATTCCTAGAAGTCAAGGTGAAAAGGTCAAACACTCACAGATATAACACGACAAAGGTTTGGGGATTATTTTCCTAAATAAAACTAAGTTATTGCTACAACATGAACCATTGGATCCATCAAAGTGGAGCAGGCAGAGCCCACAAAAACCCTCTGAAGCTGCCACCCCCCATCAGCACAAGTTGATTAAACTCATTGGAAGCGATTTGCATAATAAACAGAACCACATGGATGAAGCTGATGAGCTGGGGCCTTGTTTGCATTACTGCCCAGCCTGGAATTCCAGTGAACTCAACCTCCACACATGCAAGAAATGGCTTTTGTCAATAATTAATCACACTTGCATCTGCTGCTCCTTTCATTTCTGCACCACTGATCAAAAGCTTCAAATATTCATGGTGTCACTTGTGCCTTCTTAAAACGTGCACCAAGACCACTGAAGCTGCATTTCCTTCACAAGGTTGACTTTGCCACAACAGAAGTCTCCTTTTCTCTTCCCTCAGTTCTTCTGGTTTGATTTCTACCCCCACAGCAAAGCACAAACTCCCAAGAGGATCCTCACCCATTTTAAAACCTCAGTTTAGTAACTCAGCCCCACCCAAGAGGAACCTTCTTAATTCCAGTATTGAGATGTTGGTTCCACCACATGAATCCCAGACCCCCATGAGGGGTTTGAGGTTTGGATTTGGTGTTTTGGGGTCCCCATGTGGGGTTTTGGGTCAGTTTAGGGGTTTGGGTTTGCTGTTTTGGGGTCACTTTAGGGGTTTTAGGGTCACTGTGTAGTTTGGGGTTGGAAGCAACCTTAAAGCCCATCCATTGCACCATGGGCAGGGACACCTCCAATATCCCAGGAGCCTGTCCAAGCTGGCCCTGGACACTTCCAGGGATGGGGCAGCACCTCCTGGGGTGGCATCCAGGGCTTTGGTGGCCACTCTGGCCCAGTCCATGCACCCCATGGCATAGGAGAGCAGCTGATCCCGAGGCCTGACTGTTCCAGTATTCCATATTTCAAATCTGCTTAGAATTTCCCCACAGAAAAATCTACTTCTTCAAATGCAGGAATGACCACTAAAATCCAAATAAATCTCAGCAAAACAATGCAAATGAGAGAACACAGGGTCAGGGCCAATCCCAGCTCCCATGGGTCAGAAAAGGGGAGGGAAGGCATGAAAACCAGAAATGTTTCCCAGCAGTGACCCCAGCAAGGGCCTGGCTGTCCTGAGTCCAGAGTCTGGCTCATCCCATCCCTGAGTTTTCACACTGTAAACCTTCCCCTAAATTAATTCCATCTACTCTCATGGAATCATGGCAGTGAAGTGAATTAATCAGCAGCAGCGAGGCAGCTGAGGGGAGCTCTGA